TAGTGTACCATGTAATGTGGCTGTAGAGATTTCGAGACTGATATTACTACTGTTTGTAAATTCCGAGCAACATTAGTGTACCATGTAATGTGGCTGTAGAGATTTCGAGACCAAGAGTAATACTGTTTGTAAATCGAGACTTACATACGAGTTCTATGTAATAATGTCTACACACTTTTTCCTGTGGCAATCGGTTGAGTCGTGGCGATGTTATTACGCAGAAGAAGCAAAGGGTATAAATAAAGTCGATCACATGAAGGTATATAGGATATGAGCATGTATATTGTAATATGTAAGAAGTTATGGGAGAATATAAATAAGAATTCCACCTGCAGATGTAGAAATAGGGTCAGAACCAATGTGTAAGGCCGCCCCGCGTGGTTGACCTGTTACATCTAAACATTTTATGTCACCTTTTGATTTTTAAATCCCTATAGTTGTTGGCATAGTTTAACTGTAATATTTTAACATTTAATGCAACATTTAAGTTGTTACAATTTTATATTAAATGCCATCTTTTAATTGTTGCATCCTACATTTAATGCCATATTTCAATTGTGACATGCTAAGTTTAATGTCATCTTTTAATTGTTACATCCTACATTTAATGCCATATTTAAATTGTGACATGCTAAGTTTAATGTCATCTTTTAATTGTTACATCTTTACTTTTAATGCCATGTTTTAATTGTTGCATCCGTACAGTAAATCTATGACATGTTCCACTTTCCAGAAAATACAGTATCAGAAGAGGAAACTTCTCCTAGACGAAAGTTGGATTTACCAATACGACGAAGTTGTTCAAGGTAATACTCACAACGAATAAAATAGAACCTTTCCATTCGATGTAGAACGTATGCTAGATATTTAAATGCGATTTTTATTTTAAATCTCATTTATTTTCAATACTTAGCAGCTCAAATGTTATGTTCACCTTTTTCAATGGCAACCAAATTTACTTTATTTATTTGAAAACAATCAATTTTCCCACTGTTACACACTTTGAAAGTTAAACTTATGGATCAAAACGTTAAAAATGCGTATTGATTTATAAAAGTATTCTAGCAAGGTTTACAACGCATGTTTTTAGTTTTTATTGAATGCGGATTAATTTCTTATTTATTATAATAGAATCAAAAACTACACAAATACTACCAAAGACATAATAGGCCGTGAAATTTAGTAACCAAATTGGATGGCGCATTTTCTATTAAAACTTACATCTGAGCAGAGTATTAATAAATCCGAAAATATACATGAAGCGATTTCAATACACGAAAATCTCAGTATCGTAATGAATTAAACACAGCACCAACATACTTCTAAGTAAATAATATATAATGCCAGAACGTTCAGCTTGTCAAACATGACAGGAATATGGTAGAATCCTGACTATATTAATCCAAATCTGTCATATATGACTATCCAAAAAATCTGCCTCATCAGCAAAACATCAAGCACGTGCCAGAGCCAAAAGATGACTTTGAAAGTTTCTGATTAGTCACTGTGCAGTAGAGTACCACGTATGATCATGACAATGATAATAAATAAAAGTCTTTTACTATGATTTCCTATATAGCTGTGGAGAGATCAATATGTTTTCTAAAAAAAATATAAACAAAATGTTTACTGGTATGTCAGAAAGGGGATGGTGAGTTGTTTCTCGTGTCTATATGATGGATTTGAACATAAATGGCCATTTGGTTACAACTTTGTTTTATCGACTGTTACACAGCCTGCGTTAAATCTTTCCGGTCCTCGCAACACTTCGATATGGCGGTCCTAAGCCTTTTAATTTCCAATGGAATTTGTTAGAATCATAGAGTGACAATAACATGCTTATGTCAACACAAGTGTATAAAGGGTTTTATCGTTTTATTTATTTATATCTTATTGTTTAAATTCTGCTATTTATCACTGCAAACATACGTTGATGTAGGGCTGCGCTCATGGATATGATTATTTAAGTCAATACTTTACGTTTGTATCCATTAATCTACTATAAGTTTTGATCAATATTTTACTCTGCATTCACATCCATAAATACTAAAAGGGGAAACGCAGGGGAAACATTTGAGGTGATTTAATATTATGTATATGAATGTTATATACAATATTTATATATTTGTATAAAATCCGTCTTTGATGAAGACAAATACTAAAATTTCATTAGATTGTGACCGATAACTCATGAGTAATTGAAGCACATTTTGACTGTACCCCCAACACCGCAAAGTGAAATCGACTGACTTATCAGTATTTCATATGCCCTCTCGCGCGTCTGTCACAACCCTCTTGTGATTGGATTCCATTAGTGCTTTTATCCTCTACCTGGGGAGCATACAGCCGGTACTGCCATTTCGGCGCTCACAGTTAGCATTCAACAATTCTAGCACTGCCCAACCACGTACTCATTTACAGCTGAGTAGACTGGAACAAGGGAAGTAAAGTATCTTGCTCAAAGATACAACACAGTGCCGTGCAGTGACTCGAACCAGCAACCTTTCGGTCACGAGCCCGGCGTTCTACCACAAGACTACACGTGTACCGTGCCTCAGTGGCAGTAACGTTGAGATTGCGCAGGTGGGCAAGACGATTCTTCCTATCTTGACATTTCGTCGCCAAATATATTTACATTTGTGTTGCAGTCCCTCTAGATAGCAGTACCAACTCAAAATGATGTTCTTATTCAATAAAAGCAAATGTGTAGTAATATTAACAGTACTACATGTACCGCTANCCCCCCAAACAAAAACAAACAAAAATCTGTGTTGACAACTATGAACTGATCAACAAGAAATCACTGTTTAATTAAATAAGGGTGCTGCAAATAGTTTACAGCACAGTCCCCGTGCCACGGCAATCACAGGCGATGAATGACGGTGGTTTTGAATCAAGGTACATCCTGTTTATGTCGGGCCACCGAAGTTAGTGTGCTATTAGATACTATAACAAGTCCTTTTCAACAGAACAGGAAAAGAAAACGGTTTCCCCTACACTCGTGTTGTGTTACAAGTGGCCAAGCAGATCAAATCAGCCCGGCTCGTCGGCCAGTCCTCTCATGATCAGCAGCAGTAACAAGGAGCTTGTCCCGTTGTCACAGTCGGACGACATTATATCGTCATTTGGTTTCTTAGGAAACTCCAAATTTGCACTTTCAATTTCCATTCACCCATTTCATTGACATTCCAACCGGATCGTGGCCTGGTGAGCTTAGCCGCTGCACAACCGTTTTTTTATGGCCAGCTACCTTCGCGAACACGGACTGACTTTTTGTAACTAAAACATTTTAAAGAGTATTTTTGCTTCAAAATAATATCTACTGTCAATTTTAAATATAACGAATACTTGTTAAACATGCTGGTATGTATATCAAATGATTAAAAATAGGCAAAGTGAAACTATTTGTTTGTTGCTCAACTATGTATTTCGTCACCATTGACAACGCATCATCTTACCCGCGAAAAAGGCTGTTCAATTGATCTTTTCTGGACGGTGTATTGCCTTTTTACGTGGGAAAATTAAAAAAAAAATCTTAATTTCAAATAACGAAAGTAAATTTAATAGAACGTGGATATAAGGTTTGAAATGCTAACGTGCATCATGGAATATTTTTGAACGGTACTGTGTTGCATACCCTCATAAAGTTTTAAAAAGATGCATTTCAAACCTCACATATTAACTATACTTTTACATTATCATATTTGCTATACATTCATATGTAATATTTACTGTACTTTTACATTATCATTTTTACTCAACATTCGCATCAATATATTTACTTTAACCACAGCAGTTTTACTATACCTTTATACAATGTATCCGTAGTTAAGTTTCACTATACCTTTATACAATGTATCCGTAGTTAAGTTTTACTATACCTTTATACAATCTATCCGTAGTTAAGTTTTACTATACCTTTATACAATGTATACGAAGTTAAGTTTTACTATACCTTTATACAATGTATCCGTAGTGAAGTTTTACTATACCCTTATACAATGTATCCGTAGTTAAGTTTTACTATACCTTTATACAATGTATACGAAGTTAAGTTTTACTATACCTTTGTACAATGTATCCGTAGTTACGTTTTACCTTAAAATATGTATTATATCTTCACAACCATATTGTTAATATACTTTACCTCATCATATTTACTATACATTCACAATCATATTGTTAATATACTTTACCTCATCATATTTACTATACATTCACAATCATATTGTTAATATACTTTACCTCATCATATTTACTATACATTCACAATCATATTGTTAATATACTTTACCTCATCATATTTACTATACATTCACAGTCATATTGTAAATATACTTTACCTCATCAAACATGTATTTACTATCTTTTACCACGTCATATCAACTTTACATTCACAACCATACTTTTACCTCCTTTCACAATATTTACAACAATATCTCATCATATTAACTATACCTTCATAACTATATTTTACTATCCTTTTAAATCAACATGTTTGCTATGCCTCCACATTAGCCTAGCTAATCAATTCAATACAAAAAGTGTTTGTCTATATGTGTTGACGTTGTTGCATTTTCTGTGTTTCTGTGTTGACGCTATCTTATTTTTTTACTGTTTGTTTCACTTTGGCATATTTTGTTGTTGTGTGTTGACGCTTTGGCATATCTTGTCGCTGTGTGTTGACGCTGTGGTATATTTTGTCGTTGTGGGTTGACGCTGTGGCATATTTTGTCGTTGTGTGTTGACGCTGTGGCATAGTTTGTCGTTGTGTGTTGACGCTGTGACATATTTTGTCGTTGTGGGTTGACGCTTCGGCATATTTTGTCGTTGTGTGCTGACGCTTTGGCATAGTTTGTCGTTGTATGTTGTCGCTGTGGTATATTTTGTCGTTGTATGTTGACGCTGTGGCATATTTTGTCGTTGTGTGTTTACGCTGTGGCATATTTTGTCGTTGTGTGTTGACGCTTTGGCATAGTTTGTCGTTGTGTGTTGTCGCTGGGGTATATTTTGTCGTTGTATGTTGACGCTGTGGCATATTTTGTCGTTGTTTGTTCTCGCTATGGTATATTTTGTCGTTGTTGGTTGACGTTGTAGTATATTTTGTCGTTGGGTGTTGACGCTGTGGCATAGTTTGTCGTTGGGTGTTGACGCTGTGGCATAGTTTGTCGTTGGGTGTTGACGCTGTGGCATATTTTGTCGTTATGGGTTGACGCTGTGGCATATTTTGTTGTTGTGTGTTGACGCTGTGGCATATTTTGTCGTTGTTTGTTCACGCTATGGTATATTTTGTCGTTGTTGGTTGACGTTGTAGTATATTTTGTCGTTGTGTGTTGACGCTGTGGCATAGTTTGTCGTTGTGTGTTGACGCTATCGTATATTTTGTCGTTGTGTGTTGACGCTTTGGCATATTTTGTCGTTGTATGTTGACGCTTTGGCATAGTTTGCCGTTGTATGTTGTCGCTGTTGTATATTTTGTTGTTGTGTGTTGATGCTTAGGCATATTTTGTCGTTGTGTGTTGACGCTATCGTATATTTTGTCGTTGTGTGTTGACGCTGTGGTATATTTTGTCGTTGTGTGTTGACGCTGTGGTATATTGTGTCGTTGTGTGTTGACGCTGTGGCATATTTTGTCGTTGTGTGTTAACGGTATGGTATATTTTGTCGTTGTGTGTTGACGCTGTGGCATATTTTGTCGTTGTGTGTTGACGCTATGGTATATTTTGTCGTTGTGTGCTAACGCTGTGATATATTTTATGGCAGTGTGCTGACGCTGTGGTATATTTTTTCATTGTCTGTTGACGTTGTAGTATATTTTGTCGTTGTATGTTGTCGCTCTGGTATATTTTGTTGTTGTGTGTTGATGCTTTGGTATATTATGTCGTTGTGTGTTGACGCTATCGTATATTTTGTCGTTGTGTGTTGACGCTGTGGCATAGTTTGTCGTTGTGTGTTGACGCTGTGACATATTTTGTCGTTGTGGGTTGACGCTTTGGCATATTTTGTCGTTGTGTGTTGACGCTTTGGCATATTTTGTCGTTGTATGTTGACGCTTTGGCATATTTTGTCGTTGTATGTTGTCGCTGTGGTATATTTTGTCGTTGTATGTTGACGCTTTGGCATAGTTTGTCGTTGTGTGTTAACGCTATGGTATATTTTGTCGTTGTGTGTTGACGCTGTGGCATAGTTTGTCGTTGTGTGTTGACGCTGTGGTATATTTTGTCGTTGTGTGTTGACGCTGTGGCATTTTTTGTCGTTGTGTGTTGACGCTGTGGTATATTTTGTCGTTTGTGTTGACGCTGTGGCATATTTTGTCGTTATGTGTTGACGCTTTGGCATATTTTGTCGTTGTATGTTGTCGCTGTGGTATATTTTGTCGCTGTGTGTTGACGCTGTGGCATATTTTGTCGTTGTGTATTAACGCTATGGTATATTTTGTCGTTGTGTGTTCACGCTGTGGCATATTTTGTCGTTGTGTGTTAACGCTATGGTATATTTTGTCGTTGTGTGTTGACGCTGTGATATATTTTATGACAGTGTGTTCACGCTGTGGTATATTTTCTCATTGTCTGTTGACGCTATGGTATATTTTGTCGTTGTTGGTTGACGTTGTAGTATATTTTGTCGTTGTGTGTTGACGCTGTGTCATAGTTTGTCGTTGTGTGTTGACGCTATCGTATATTTTGTCGTTGTGTGTTGACGCTTTGGCATATTTTGTCGTTGTATGTTGACGCTTTGGCATAGTTTGTCGTTGTATGTTGTCGCTGTTGTATATTTTGTTGTTGTGTGTTGATGCTTTGGCATATTTTGTCGTTGTGTGTTGACGCTATCGTTTATTTTGTCGTTGTCTGTTGACGCTGTGGTATATTTTGTCGTTGTGTGTTGACGCTGTGGTATATTGTGTCGTTGTGTGTTGACGCTGTGGCATATTTTGTCGTTGTGTGTTAACGGTATGGTATATTTTGTCGTTGTGTGTTGACGCTGTGGCATATTTTGTCGTTGTGTGTTGACGTTATGGTATATTTTGTCGTTGTCTGTTGACGCTGTGGTATATTTTTTCATTGTCTGTTGACGTTGTAGTATATTTTGTCGTTGTGTGTTGTCGCTCTGGTATATTTTGTTGTTGTGTGTTGATGCTTTGGTATATTTTGTCGTTGTGTGTTGACGCTATCGTATATTTTGTCGTTGTGTGTTGACGCTTTGGCATAGTTTGTCGTTGTGTGTTGACGCTGTGACATATTTTGTCGTTGTGGGTTGACGCTTTGGCATATTTTGTCGTTGTGTGTTGACGATATGGTATATTTTATCTTTATGTGTTGGCGCTGTGGTATATTATGTTGTGTGTTGACGCTGTCGTATATTTTGTCGTTGTGTGTTGACGATATAGTATATATTATCTTTATGTGTTGACGCTGTGGTATATTATGTTGTTGTGTGTTTGTGCTATCGTATATTATGTTGTTGTGTGTTGTCGCTATCTTATATTTTGTCGTTGTGTGTTGACGCTTTGGCATAGTTTGTCGTTGTGTGTTGACGCTGTGTCATATTTTGTCGTTGTGTGTTGTCGCTCTGGTAAATTTTGTTGTTGTGTGTTGATGCTTTGGTATATTTTGTCGTTGTGTGTTGACGTTATGGTATATTTTGTCGTGGTCTGTTGACGCTGTGGTATATTTTGTCGTTTGTGTTGGCGCTGGGGCATATTTTGTCGTTATGTGTTGACGTTTTGGCATATTTTGTCGTTGTATGTTGTCGCTGTGGTATATTTTGTTGTTGTGTGTTGACGCTGTGCCATATTTTGTCGTTGTGTGTTGATGCTTTGGAATATTTTGTCGTTGTGTGTTGACGCTGTGGTATATTTTATCTTTATGTGTTGACGCTGTGGTATATTATGTTGTGTGTTGACGCTATCGTATATTATGTTGTTGTGTGTTGACGCTATCGTATATTTTGTCGTTGTGTGTTGACGCTGTGTCATATTTTGTCGTGGTGTGTTGACGCTGTGGTATATTATGTTGTTGTGTGTTGACGCTATCGTATATTATGTTGTTGTGTGTTGACGCTATCGTATATTTTGTCGTTGTGTGTTGACGCTTTGGCATATTTTCTCGTTGTGTGTTGACGCTGTAGTAATAGTTATTGGAATTGTAGATATCAATCATTCAGAAATCTTTCTGACCTTCGTGGCAAATCGTCACCATAGCGACGTATCAATGTAAACAATATGCATTACAACGGAGTCATATCCGGGTATGATTTGCTTTAAGTTTGATTAAACAGTCTCTGCTTAATAACGCATGAACAATATTACCTGAAGGATCCTATCAGAGGTGATGAATAATTAAAAGAATTGATAGCCTTATATAAAACAATGTACATATGTGCGAACACTACGCTCCGTAGGGTACATGTAACTATATTACAGGTTTACGTAAACTTTGGGGTACGGGGTCAACATGACGAGAAAAGAGATGATGGTTATTTTTGACGCAAACTATGACAAACGCATACACAATTACATGTATATTAATGTCACAGGAATTGAGGTCTATTTTGCTTATATTAAAAAAAATCGTTGTACGCACATTGTTTTTTGTGCAAAATAGTTCTCACCATTATCCCATATCACTGCTCGATTTGCTTCCCGAAAAACTGGACCGGAACAACAACGACATCGAAAACAGAAAAATGATGTCGCGTTACTATAGCGTAAAATAGGGACCAATATTCGACACCTTTTTCATGTTTCAATTCGTCGATTTGATCAGTAGATAGCGACCTATGAGAAACAAAATCATAACACTCGCCAAGTCTTCCAATGATATATATTTACAGCTACTGGCACAACGTCCCAAATATCTAAAGCATTTTTTTTTCTATAACAAGAATCTACAGCTAGGAAAAGTTTTACGCTCGCCAAGTCGTCTCTATGCTGAACAAGTATCTACTTCTATGAAAAGTCCATCACGTTTGTCAGGTCGTCCTCACGATTAATATTTACATCTAGAAGCATTCCATCGGGCTAGCCAATCAGTACCGACAATACATATCTACATAAGTATTTGTTCGATGTTGTAGGCAAAGATTTAAAAGGTAAAATTTCGTCTGATCTAGTTTGTTACGTATAGAAAACACAACTATTTTGGATTTTAATAAATTTCCGTTGTATCCCGTTGAGTAGACCGAACTAAAGATATTAATTGGTGATTATATTGAAATACGTCACCAAATTTTTGTATACAAGGAATGTCACGATTTATTTCAGAACAAAACGAATACATTGCATCCCCTATCTCTACCGATTTTAACATTATATCTTTGCATGTTTGTCTGTCTTTGTTTTATAGAATGATATACCTGCTGGTGTGTCTGTCTTTGTTAATTAACATGATATCTGTACATGTTTGTCTGTCTTTGTTTTATAGAATGATATCCCTGCAGGTGTGTCTGTCTTTGTTAATTAACATGCTATCTGTACATGTTTGTTTTTGTTCTTCAGAATGATATCTCTACGCGTTTGTCTTATTTGTTCTTTAACATGACATCTCTAGATATCAGTGTGCATTTGTTCGTTAACCTGACATCTCTAGATATCAGTGTGTATTTGTTCTTTAACATGACATCTCTAGATAGCAGTGTGTATTTGTTTTTTAACATGACATCTCTAGATATCAGTGTGTATTTGTTCTTTAACATGACATCTCTAGATATCAGTGTGTGTTTGTTCTTTAACATGACATCTCTAGATGTCAGTGTGTATTTGTTCTTTAACATGACATATATAGATATCAGTGTGTATTTGTTCTTTGACATGACATCTCTAGATATCAGTGTGCATTTGTTCTTTAACATGACATCTCTAGATAGCAGCGTGTATTTGTTTTTTAACATGACATCTCTAGATATCAGTGTGCATTTGGTCTTTAACATGACATCTCTAGATATCAGTGTGTATTTGTTCTTTAATTATTAGAACTAGATATCAGTGTGTATTTGTTCTTTAATTATTAGAACTAGAGCCTCGACATGCGTTTGGAAGCTGTATTAGTCGACGATCAATGGGCGGTCTGGGGATGGACGACGCCATCAGTACAACCGGATCCTTTACCGCGTTCAAACAAATGTTTGCCAGCACTGGTGTCGTGCGAGTACTTCAGACTTGTGTTGCATGTTTTGGTTCTTCTTATATTATAATAATTTCAAGAATTTATTGGAAAGCATAAATCATTATCGCTTTAAAATTAATTATCATAATTCTCTGCTAAACATGTATCACGTTTCAAATATTTCGACTTTTTTGTTTTCGTCTGCCAAACGAAGATACAAATACAAGTGTTAACAATGAAAATTGGATTTTTTTCTTCTTTATTAAATTAAGATAAACGTCACACTGTTAGAACGAATGCACGAAGAAACAACTGACGCTATGATTTAATTGTTTATATCTAACTGATTTATTCGTTTATTTTATTGTTACAATGACTATTGGTTTTCTTATGGAAATTGACTGTTCACCACTGCTAGCCGATAAACAATTGTATTATTATGACCCAAAAATTGTAGAATGAATATTACAAACAAAAAAACAGTTATTTCTGTAGTATGATCATTTCAGATATATATAAAGATGATAACCTGGAATAGCAAGAAATTCAGAAATATTTATTTGATTTTCATGAATTCCACGTTATGTGAACTGAAATGTAAACTAAATATCAAAAAGAGATGTGTAGCTATCTATACCCTAATTTAATATGGGGTTAAAATAAAAATATAATACGTATTATTTTGTTCAACATACTTAGGGACGGAAAGACTGTAACCATACGAAAAATAAATAAAAAACAATTTGTGTTGACGAGGAGGATCAGAGAGGAAGTCCGGTCTGTAAGGTATGAACCTTAAAACACCTAACATGTCCAGGTAGGAGTATTACAATTTGTGTTGACTAGGAGGATCAGAGAGGAAGTACGGTCTGTAAGGTATGAGCCTTAAAACACCCCACATGTCCAGGTAGGAGTATTACAATTTGTGTTGACGAGGAGGATTAGAGAGGAAGTACGGTCTGTAAGGTATGAGCCTTAAAACACCCCACATGTCCAGGTAGGAGTATTACAATTTGTGTTGATGAGGAGGATCAGACAGGAAGTACGGTCTGTAAGGTATGAGCCTTAAAACACCCCACATGTCCAGGTAAGAGTATTACAATTTGTGTTGACGAGGAGGATCAGAGAGGAAGTACTGTCTGTAAGGTATGAGCCTTAAAACACCTTACATGTCCAGGTAGGAATTACAATTTGTGTTGACGAGGAGAGTCAGAGAGGAAGTACGGTCTGTAAGGTATGAACCTTAAAACACCTTACATGTCCAGGTAGCAGTATTACAATTTGTGTTGACGAGGAGGATTAGAGAGGAAGTACGGTCTGTAAGGTATGAGCCTTAAAACACCTTACATGTCCAGGTAGGAGTATTAAAATTTGTGTTGACGAGGAGGATTAGAGAGGAAGTACGGTCTGTAAGGTAAGAACCTTAAAACACCTTACATGTCCAGGTAGCAGTATTACAATTTGTGTTGACGAGGAGGATTAGAGAGGAAGTACGGTCTGTAAGGTATGAGCCTTAAAACACCTTACATGTCCAGGTAGGAATTACAATTTGTGTTGACGAGGAGAGTCAGTGAGGAAGTACGGTCTGTAAGGTATGAACCTTAAAACCCCTTACATGTCCAGGTAGGAGTATTACAATTTGTGTTGATGAGGAGGATCAGAGAGGAAGTCCGGTCTGTAAGGTATGAGCCTTAAAACACCTTACATGTCCAGGTAGGAATTACAATTTGTGTTGACGAGGAGAGTCAGAGAGGAAGTACGGCCTGTAAGGTATGAACCTTAAAACACCTTACATGTTCAGGTAGGAGTATTACAATTTGTGTTGACGAGGAGGATTAGAGAGGAAGTACGGTCTGTAAGGTAAGAACCTTAAAACACCTTACATGTCCAGGTAGGAGTATTAAAATTTGTGTTGACGAGGAGGATTAGAGAGGAAGTACGGTCTGTAAGGTATGAACCTTAAAACACCTCACATGACCGAGGTGGTACGCTGTCAGGTAATTAATCTATCAGGAAAATGTATTGATCAGTGACAGGTTATATGTTTTGGATAAGTTCATTATATTACTATATTTACGTCTGCTTACTTATATTGGTAAATTATAGTCTCTCTAATCAATTATTCGTGGTGACTTCAAATGCTCCAACATTTGATTTCGTCACTGAGAAATCTACACAAGTCCCTTATAAAATTTTATTCCTTATAACTTATCAAAACAAAGTAGTCTTTATTAATAACCATACTAGAGCAAAATAAACTGTTTGCCAGCTAACGACCTTGATGATACAAATCTTTACAAGTCTCTTATAAAAGGATTTCCAAATAATTGATTGAACTAGTCTTTAATTACTTTATTGTCTTGTATCATCCAACAACCATCTTAGTATAGAATACACTGTTTGTTAGATAATAATGACGTTGATGTCCTAACTGTTTTGCCAGGACAATGGATCATGCCAACCTGTGTAAGTTTGTGGGAGGATGTATAAAGGATCCGAATGTATGTATCCTCATGGAATATTGTCCGAAGGGAAGTCTGATTGACGTCTTATTGAACGACGACATACCGCTTTCTTGGTCCTTTCGGTAAGACATACCGCTCTCTTTTTCCATACCGCTCGCTTGGTCCCAATGGTAAGACATACCGCTCGCTTAGTCCCAATGGTAAGACATACCGCTCGCTTGTCCCAATGGTAACCGGTCTCTTGGTCCTTTCGGTAAGAAACACCGCTCACTTGGTCCTACCAGTAAGACATACCGCTTTCTTGGTCCCACCAGTAAGACATACAGCTCTCTTGGTCCCACCAATAAGACATATCGCTCTCATGGCCCAAACAGTGAGACAAACCGCTCCCTTGGTCCTTGCGGTAAGACGCACCGCTCTCTTGGTCCTTTCGGTAAGAAACACCACTCACTTGGTCCTACCAGTAAGACATACCGCTTTATTGGTCCCACCAGTTAGACATACAGCTCTCTTGGTCCCACCAGTAAGACATATCACTTTTTTGATCCCACCAGTAACACATACCGCTTTCTTGGTCCTTTCGGTAAGACATATCGCTTTCTTGATCCCACCAGTAAGACATACCGCTTTCTTATTCCTACCAGTAAGACATATCACTTTCTTGAACCCACCAGTAAGACATACCGCTTTCTTGGTCCCAATGGTAAGACATGCCGCTTTCCTGGCCCACCAGTAAGACATATCACTTTATTGGTCCTACTGGTAAGACATACCGCTCGTTCTCTAAATTCAACCGGTAAGACTTATAATCGCCACCTCCTATAAGAAGGAAGCTTAGATATTGCAATGGTCAAAAATGTATTAGGCCTGCCTGATCATTACTCGCAATATTGGAAAGCATGCATTGGGTTTGGGTCCCACAGTAACACGAACAAGAAGTAACACGAACAAAAAAAAACTTGTCCAAAAACTGAAACCAAGTCCAATTAAGCTAATGTGGCCCCTTAATTATGAAACTATGGTTCAGCACATTTCTTACACGCCATATAAATACGCCAACCTTATAATTAACAACAGCCTTTTGATAGTGGTGATCCAACAATACACAAAAACCTTGCCCAAATACTTAAACCAAGCGCAATTAAGCTATTTTTCACTCCTAAAATATGACAAAATGGTTCCGAACATTGTGTTCACTCAATATGAATACTTCAACCTTATAATAGACAACACCCTATTGATGGTGGTGGTCCAATACTACACAAAAACCTTGGCCAAAAACTTAACTTAAAGCTTGCCAAAATTCTATGAACAAGTCCAATTCAGCTGTTTTTGGCCCCTGAAATATGACAAAATGGTTCAGTACATTGCTTACTCCCGATATTAAAACTTCAACCTTATAATAGTCAACAGCCTATTATCGGTGGTGATCCAACACTGCACAAAAAAAACTTGCCAAAAAAACTGTAACCAGGTCCTAGTCAGCTTGTTTTGACCCCTAGGATATGAAAATATGATTCCGCACAATGCTTACACTCCATATAAATGCCTAAACTTTATAATAGACAACAATGTATTGTGTGTGATGATCCGACACTCTCTGGAAAAAAAACTTGCCCAAAAGCTTTAACCTCAGTCAAGTGGGACGCCGACGCCGGGGTGACTACATTAGCCCCACTATTCTCCAAATAGGCCAGCTAAAAAATGAAGAGATAAACTAATTCAATTTAGAAGACTCTTAACCCAAGGGTCCTCAAAAGTGTGTTATAGGGAAGAGGGGAGAGGTTAACCAATACTTGAACATTCTTATTATTAAGGACCCTCGTTACAATTTTTACCTTCTCTAAGCTTACATTGTTTTACTGAATTTGAAATATTCTAAAATAAAAATGTGTTAGATCATTTGAGCTTATATGGCCTATTGATCTCTTGCTAAATGTATTTTGTTTTATCAAATGATATAGAAGAAGAAAAACGGTTGAATAATTCAGTGGAACAAGAATACATATTGATACTTCCAATATTTTTATTGTGTATTATCCTCCTAGCTATTTGGACGTATCTTTTAGGCCATTCTCAGCAATTGTTATACTTTCATAGCGATGTCTTATTTAATAAATTACATCAGTAAAAATAGTCTGTAGCAAAGATTCATGACCAGATTGAATAATAATAGAGACGTTGTTTTCACCAGGTTGTCTTTCGCTACTGACATTGCACAGGGGATGACGTATCTGCACAGTCATACCATGGCTCACGGCAGATTGAAGGCTCATAACTGCGTTATCGATGACCGGTGGAGTGTAAAGATCACAGGTAGTCCCCTATCGCGTATTACCTTGTACTGACCACTGGTGGCACTGACGTGTATATTACCGTGTACTGACCACTAGTGGCGCTAGCGTGTGTTTAACCGTGATCTGACCTATTGCGGAGCTATAGTGTTTATTACCGTTACTAATCACTCATGTCGCTATGCCAAAGTGTTTTTTGTCGGATGTTCGTTGTCATAGGTTTAATTTACCATAAAGACCATTTTCTATTTATAGGTTTGTGATCGGTTCCTGACATGAAGACATGATAAATAGAAATCATAGATATATCACGAAATAAAGAATAGATGTGACCGCCTGCAATGTCACGGATATTGTTAAGAGCAAGCACATGCCAATCACCTTAAACAGACCGTTACTTCTTGGAATATTCTCTGTTACACCATTGTATTTTTAAGTTGAACGCACCCATTAGCACCATGATCTACTGTATTGTTTTGTTGATGAGCCGTTAACAGCAAACAGACCAATCGATTACAATATATCACTTAGTGATGGTCGAAATGTAACGCATCCAATTCTGATATCCGTTCATCAGTCACTTAACGTAAAAGTTCATGTCACACAGCTTAACAGTTTTCGATAAATACAGCAAAAATGGATGGATGAGTGAAAACTCATCCTCGATATTCCAGGGGCCACGCCAAGTTACGTTCTGTGTACCCGTGGATTATGTCCTGACAAAATTGAAGGCGAGCGACTAGCTGTTTGATTGGATTCGAGTAAACGAGTAAAAAAATCTGACTAGTTGCTAGGCTGATGTCCTTTGAAGATTACAGAAGATGATCCGATTTCAAAGCCGGTCAATTTGACCGTTGTGCTGCGGCGGTATTCTGTTGATGTACATTAACAGCTCGAACTAGTCTTCTTGTATCCTGTGTATCATTTACAAAGTGACGTTTACTGAGCTTAGAATTTGTCATGACACATTCCAGGGGTGCAGAGAACATAGAACGTTACTCAAACAAACAAACAAATATCCATAAAAGTGTAAACTATATCAAACCATAGCCCTTTTACCATTACAAATAAAATTATTATCACTTTTTACAGATTATGGCTTGCCGACGTACCGAACTAATGAGTTTGATGACGATCATGATGGTGATATCCACATGAAAACATCGTGTTATCAAATATATTACGCACCTGAGTTTAAAAAGAATATGGAGTCATCGAAGAAGGCCTCGCCCCTAATGGTGCTGCCGTCTACCGAGGGAGATGTTTACGCCTTCGGTGTTATCCTTGTAGAGATTGCTACGCGCAATGAAGCTTATGGGGCAAGTAGCATGTCAGACTTGTTTATGAAAGAAACAAATACAGACATAATTGACAAAATGAAACAGAACAAAGTTTAAATAACCAGGACCTGAATTCATGAATCTGTTCTCATACTCAGAAATGGTTTCAGTGCTCAAACACATTTTTTTCTGCATTTTGTAACTTACTTTAAACATGTGACACTGTCAGAAAGTCAAGTATGAACATTTAAAATAGAATGCCGCTTAAAGTTACTCCCAAAGTCTTCGAAAATGTTGACAAACGGTTGTTTAATTTATAAATCAATCACCAGAACAAGTAATAGGGCTTGAACACAGAATTTGAGTTTGAGCACGAGATCGGTTTCATGGGTCCTGGGGTTCAATTCCGTCTTTTCGTATTGCAGAGTTATCTGCTCTTGTGAGCAGGTATTGATTGCTACGTCATTAGTGTGTGTGTGAGAAAATTACGTCGTTTTCTCAAAAATTTATGACGTTACTCCCACAAACAAACGACGTAACAATCAAAACCTGCTCACAATAGCAGATAACCCTGCAATACGAAAAGACGGAATAAACCATAGTCTGCTGATTTGTATACAGATATCAATTAAAATCTGCTTTCACTTAGTATATCCCTATATCTCACAGGACGAGGACTGGTCCGCCCTGCCGCTGGATTGGAAACCTCCGATTCCTGCATTTGGGGAAAATGAAGATAACGATAATAGATGTCCCTGTCCTGAACAGTACTGTAAAGTAAGCACACGTAGATAGAATAGCACTGTCAAGTGAGCATACGTAGATAGAATAGCAATGTAAAGTGAGCACACGTAGATAGAATAGCACTGTAAAGTGTAAAGTGAGTATACGTAGATTGAATAGCACTGTATAGTGAGTATACGTAGATAAAATAGCACTGTCAAATCAGCACACGTAGATAGAATAGCACAGTAAAGTGAGTATTCGTAGATAGAATAGCACTGTAAAGTGAGCACACGTAGATAGAATAGCACTGTAAAGTGTAAAGTGAGTATACGTAGATTGAATAGCACTGTAAAGTGAGTATAGGTAGATAGAATAGCACTGTCAAATCATCACACGTAGATAGAATAGGACTGGAAAGTGAGTATACGTAGATAGAATAGCAATGTAAAGTGAGTATACGTGGATAGAATAGCAATGTAAAGTGTAAAGTGAGTATACGTAGATTGAATAGCACTGTAAAGTGAGTATACGTAGATAAAATAGCACTGTCAAATCAGCACACGTAGATAGAATAGCACAGTAAAGTGAGTATTCGTAGATAGAATAGCACTGTAAAGTGAGTATAGGTAGATAGAATAGCACTGTCAAATCATCACACGTAGATAGAATAGGACTGGAAAGTGAGTATACGTAGATAGAATAGCAATGTAAAGTGTAAAGTGAGTATACGTAGATAAAATAGCACTCTAAAATGAGTTTACGTAGATAGAATAGCACTGTAAAGTGTAAAGTGAGTATACGTAGATTCCCTGTCCTGAACAGTACTGTAAAGTAAGCACACGTAGATAGAATATCACTGTCAAGTGAGCATACGTAGATAGAATAGCACTGTAAAGCGAGTATAGGTGGAAAGAATAGCACTGTAAAGAGAGCATACGTAGATAGAATAGCACTGTAAAGTGAGCATACGTAGAAAAAATAGAACTATGAAGTGAGCATACGTAGAAAGAATAGCACTGTAAAGTGTAAATTGAGTATACGTAGATTGAATAGCACTGTAAAGTGAGTATACGTAGATAAAATAGCACTCTAAAATGAGTTTACGTAGAAAGAATAGCACTGTAAAGTGTTAAGTGAGTATAGTTGGATAGAATAGCACTGTAAAGTGAGTATACGTAGATAGAATATCACTGTAAAGTGTAAAGTGAGTATACGTAGATAAAATAGCACTGTAAAATGTAAATTAAATATACATAGATACAATAGCACTGTAAAGTGTAAAACGAGCAAATGTAGATAAAATAGCATTGTAAAGTGAGCATACTTTGATAAAATAGAACTATTAAGTGAGCATACGTAGATAAAATAGCACTAGAAAGTGAGCATATGTAGATAAAATAGCACTGTAAAGTGAGCACACGTAGATAGAATAGCACTGTAAAGTGAGTATACGTAGATAGAATAGCACTATAAAGTGTAAATTGAGTATACGTAGATTGAATAGCACTGTAAAGAGAGTATACCTAGATAGAATAGCACTGTCAAATTAGCACACGTAGATAGAATAGCACTGTAAAGTAAGTATACGTAGATAGAATAGCACTGTAAAGTGTAAATTGAGTATAAGTAGATTGAATAGCACTGTAAAGTGAGTATACGTAGATAGAATAGCACTGTAAAGTAAGTATAAGTAGATAGAATAGCACTGTAAAGTGTAAATTTAGTATACGTAGATTGAATAGCACTGTAAAGTGTAAAGTGAGTATACGTAGAAAAACTAGCACTGTAAAGTGTAAAGTGAGTATACGTAGATTGAATAGCACCGTAAAGTGAGTATACGTAGATAAAATAGCACTAGAGTATATGTAGATAAAATAGCACTGTAAAGTGAGCACACGTACATAAATTAGCACTGTAAAGTAAGCACACGCTGATAAAATAGCACTGTAAAGTGAGCACACGTACATAAATTAGCACTGTAAAGTAAGCACACGTTGATAAAATAGCACTGTAAAGTGAGCACACGTAGATAAAATACACTGTAAAGTATAAAGAGAGTATATGTAGATAAAATAGCACTGTAAAGTGTAAAGTGAGTATACGTAGAAAAACTAGCACTGTAAAGTGTAAAGTGAGTATACGTAGATTGAATAGCACTGTAAAGTGAGCATACGTAGATAGAATAGCACTGTCAAGTGAGCATACGTTGATAAAATAGAACTGTAAAGTGAGCACACGTAGATAGAATAGTACTGTAAAGTGAGCATACGTAGATAGAATAGCACTGTCAAGTGAGCATACGTAGATAGAATAGCAATGTAAAGTGAGCACACGTAGATAGAATAGCACTATAAAGTGAGTATACGTAGATAGAATAGCACTGTAAAGTGAGCATACGTAGATAGAATAGCACTGTCAAGTGAGCATACTTTGATAAAATAGAACTGTAAAGTGAGCACACGTAGATAGAATAGCACTGTAAAGTGAGTATACGTAGATAGAATAGCACTGTAAAGTGAGTATAGGTGGAAAGAATAGATAAAATAGCACTCTAAAATGAGTTTACGTAGATAGAATAGCACTGTAAAGTGTTATGTGAGTATAGGTGGATAGAATAGCTCTGTAAAGTGAGTATACGTAGATAGAATAGCACTGTAGAGTGAGCACACGTAGATAGAATAGCACTGTAAAGGGGGTATACGTAGATAGAATAGCACTGTAAAGTGTAAATTGAGTATACGTAGATTGAATAGCACTGTAAAGTGAGTATACGTAGATAGAATAGCATTGTAAAGTGTAAATTGAGTATACATAGATAAAATAGCACTGTCAAATCAGCACACGTAGATAGAATAGCACAGTAAAGTGAGTATACGTAGATAGAATAGCACTGTAAAGTGAGCACACGTAGATAGCATAGCACTGTAAAGTGAGTATACGTAGATAGAATAGCAATGTAAAGTGTAAAGTGAGCATACGTAGATAAAATAGCACCGTCAAATCAGCACACGTAGATAGAATAGCACTGTAAAGTGAGCATACGTGGATAGAATAGCACTGTCAAGTGAGCATACTTTGCTAAAATAGAACTGTAAAGTGAGCACACGTAGATAGAATAGTACTGTAAAGTGAGCATACGTAGATAGAATAGCACTGTCAAGTGAGCATACTTTGCTAAAATAGAACTGTAAAGTGAGCACACGTAGATAGAATAGTACTGTAAAGTGAGCATACGTAGATAGAATAGCACTGTAAAGTGAGTGTACGTAGATAGAATAGCAATGTAAAGTGTAAAGTGAGTATACGTAGATAAACTAGCACTGTCAAATCAGCACACGTAGATAGAATAGCACAGTAAAGTGAGTATACGTAGATAGAATAGCACTGTAAAGTGTAAAGTGAGCATACGTAGATAAAATAGAACTATTAAGTGAGCATACGTAGATAAAATAGCACTTTAAAGTGAGCATATGTAGATAAAATAGCACTGTAAAGTGAGCACACGTACATAAATTAGCACTGTAAAGTGAGCACACGTTGATAAAATAGCACTGTAAGGTGAGCACACGTAGATAAAATAGCACTGTAAAGTGTAAAGTGAGTATACGTAGATTGAATAGCACTGTAAAGTGAGTATACGTAGAAAGAATAGCACTTTAAAGTGAGAACACGTAGATAGAATAGCACTGTAAAGTGTAAAGAGAGTATATGTAGATAAAATAGCACTGTAAAGTGCAAAGTGAGTATACGTAGATAAAATAGCACTCTAAAATGAGTTTACGTAGATAGAATAGCACTGTAAAGTGAGTATACGTAGAAAGAATAGCACTTTAAAGTGAGCACACGTAGATAGAATAGCACTGTAAAGTGAGTATACGTAGATAGAATAGCAATGTAAAGTGAGTATACGTAGACAGAATAGCACTTTAAAGTGAGCACACTTAGATAGAATAGCTCTGTAAAGTGAGTATACGTAGATAAAATATCACTCTAAAATGAGTTTACGTAGATAGAATAGCACTGTAAAGTGTTAAGTGAGTAAAGGTGAATAGAATAGCACTGTAAAGTGAGTATACGTAGATAGAATAGCACTGTCAAGTGTAAAGTGAATATACGTAGATAAAATAGCACTGTAAAGTGTAAATTAAATATACATAGATACAATAGCACTGTAAAGTGTAAAGCGAGCAAATGCATAGATACAATAGCAATGTAAAATGTAAAGTGAGTATACGTAGATAGAATAGCAATGTAAAGTGAGCACACGTAGATAAAATAGCACTGTAAAGTGTAAAATGAGTATACGTAGATAAAATAGCACTGTAAAGTGTAAATGAAATATACATAGATACAATAGCACTGTAAAGTGTAAAGCGAGCAAATGCAGATAAAATAGTACTCTTAAGTGAGCATACTTTGATAAAATAGAACTATTAAGTGAGCATACGTAGATAAAATAGAACTATTAAGTGAGCAAACGTAGATAAAATAGCACTAGAAAATTAGCATATGTAGTTAAAATAGCACTGTAAAGTGAGCACACGTAGATAAAATAGCACTGTAAAGTGTAAAGTGAGCACACGTAGATAAAATCGCACTGTAAAGTGTAAAGAGAGTATATGTAGATAAAATAGCACTGTAAAGCGTAAAGTGAGCACACGTAGATAATATAGCACTGTAAAGTGTAAAGCGAGCAAATGCAGATAAAATAGTACTCTTAAGTCAGCATACTTTGATAAAATAGAACTATTAAGTGAGCAAACGTAGATAAAATAGCACTTGAAAATTAGCATATGTAGTTAAAATAGCACTGTAAAGTGAGGACACGCAGATAAAATAGCACTGTAAAGTGTAAAGAGAGAATATGTAGATAAAATAGCACTGTAAAGTATAAAGTGAATATACGTAGATAAACTAGGACTGTAAAGTGTAAAGTGAGTATACGGCGATTGAATAGCACTATAGAGTGAACACACGTAGATAAAATAGCACTGTAAAGGGTAAAGTGAATATACGTAGATAAACTAGCACTGGAAAGTGTAAAGTGAGTA